AATAGTGCTCATTATCACTGTGTATTTGCCTTTCCTGTGGACTAGTGAGGAGAAGGAAAAAAAAGCACTTAACAGTAAAGGAGGAGGAAAAAAATCCCCCACAAAACAATGGAAAAGAGATTGATCTCGTTTTAAAAATTCTGCAGTTACATATTAGGACTTATATCTCTTTATGTAGAGGTGTTAAGATTCTCTAGCTATGAAACACCCAGTTTGTCTTAATCCTTACAGTAATCTTCATGAAATGTTCAGAATAGAGGAAAAAATGATAGATTTCCAAATTCCTGAAATCTTCTATTGATATTAAAAGAATTGTGAAAGAAAGATTGATTCTTAGCACTGCATACTTTTATAAAGAGAGGCATATGCTGAGGGAAAAGATGAATATTTCCAGTGAAAGTCTGTTTTGGTCATTAACGCCAGCAAATCTGAGGACTTTTGTCCTTAAGACCTGAACAGTAGCTTTTTAACCTCCTCCAGCATATCTCAGCAAGGAAAGGTGAGTTTACATTAGTGCCCTTTGGGAAGTATATGGACTGGAGTATAAGAAAAGGTGTTGTTTATGGTAGGGTGTCCCAACAGGACTCCTGCTAGGACATTTATGACAACACTAGTACTTTCTGTCCTCAGATCTCTAGGGCCCCTGTTTGAAGCAGAATATGTCTTCAGTGTGGGGTTGGGTGGTTTGTTGTGTTTTGTGGGGGTTTTTTTTGGGGGGGGTCCTCTTTTTTTGCATGTTTGGGGGTGTTTTGCTGGGATTTTTTTGTTGTTGTTTTGTTTTGTTGGTGGTTTTTTTTGTTTTGTTTTGTTTTAGTTTTTGCTTGGTTGGAGTTTTTTAAATTTACCCTTTAGGCCAGGATAATGCAGTACCTATTATTCTACTACTTCTCTCTGCATCCCCTGCAGTCCCTGTTGTGCCTGTCCCTCTTGGCAGCTCCCAATGAAACGGCCTGTTAAAAGTGGTGAGTGGCTTTTGTTTGTGTCATCTCCTTGTTCCCACTGCTTCACACAGGAAAATTTGGTTTAAACAGCTCTAGTCATCTAAACAATATTGTTAAGATATTGAAAAAGATATTCTAGGTTAAGATATTCTAGTCCCACGTTTGCTGATTTCACCTCTCTTTGTGCCAGACACTCTCTTAAGGACTTTCATGGAAGCTCCAGTTTATTTTGTTGGTTTTCCCCGGCTGGTACTGTCTAGTGCAACAGGAGCTGAAGTCCCTGGAAGTTTGGTCATTGACTTTCATGAGGAAGCCTCAGGATCTGAGCATTTGAGCTGGAGAGGGCACTTAGCAGTGCTCAAGCAAAGATCTGAGTAAGTCAACGGGAGTTCTGCCACCTTCCAAAAATGCAGGACGGCACTCTGCCTTTGCCTTGCCCTCCCAAATGGGGGGGAAGCAAAACAAACAAACATCAACATGCTGTGCTCCGCTCAGACTACTTGAAAAAGAAAATGTTTCTTAAATACGTGTTTGCATCCAAACCTGTGGAGAAAATAAGTTCTATTAAATACTAAAAGTGGAGGTCCTGAAACGTACTTATCCCAGGGTCTTAATACCCACATTAACATGGACAAAACTGCTATGTTTTCACAAGCTATCCTGTCCTATGTAAGTATATGTTAGCAAGCTGGGGTTACAAAGCAATGAGTTCTTATAAAGAGCTCTGCTCTTCCAACACAGTCTTCAGGTTTTGTGTAAATCTTATCTATAAGAAAAATTATATGCCAGGGCAAGCAAGATCCAGAAACTTCCTGGGAAAATGGCATTTACATGCACATCAATGCCTCAATAGTAGTATCAGTAGGACATTCCTCCCCAGTGCCCAGGAAAAAGCAGCTGACAAGTAGCACTGTACATCTCAGTTACACATATAATGATAAATGTTCATTTTTCTTAAGGGGAAAAAGGGGGAAAAAACCCAGGTGGTGGGAAGACAGATGTTTGCTCTTCAGAGAATTGGAAGTGGGAGGTTTTGACCCTTGGAAGGAGGGTTTCATCCCCGGGCTCAATGAGTGCTGGCCCAGCCCGGGGCGGGCAGGGGAAATGGGGGACAGCGACAGGAGGGACACGGATCTGGCCCCAAATGTGGCGTTAATCGCGGGTGTCCCCCCCAGAACTGCAAGCTGAAAGATATTTAAACAAACAGCTCCGACACTTGAACACACTCCGGCGTTTCGGCACGGCATCCTCAGGCGGTTAAAGCTGCGGAGGGGCAGCCGGCACCCTGGGACCGCAGCGACGGGCTGGTTCCCGCTGGGAAGGTGTCTGGGGGTCGCCGTGTCCCGGGGAATAAGGCAGGGAATGACGGACACGGAGCCTCCTGAACACGAAGTAACAGCTGGAGGCAACCAATCTTCCCAAGCGAGAGGGAAAGTATTGCTATAAATCGGGAATCTTTATAGCTGCGCGGCTGGAGGAAGTTTTTTGGCTGTAAACTGTCATGCACGGCAGCTCCCGCTGAAAAGACTCTGGAAATGGGGAGTCCTCTCTCCTGAGAACCGAAGTGCAATTAAGATCAGAAAGACGGGGGAGGAAATAAAATAAAGACGACAGGAATCCGAGCTGAGGAAAAACTTTACGGTTTGGGTCTCTTGGTTCTTTTGGAGCAGTTGATAGGTTTTATTTTATTTTTTTGTGGCATTTCAAAGATTTTACATAACTCCTGGAAACTTTTTTTAAAATGTCCATTTCAAAATTTAAAACTGCAAAGACTTTTTTTTTTTTTTAAAGACTAGCTAAATTGGAGAACATACATTCTTTTTCTGGGATGAGCAGGTCACTCATTTGCTAAGTATTAAGTAAAATGTGATATATATCAAATCAAGTTGAACTTCAACTCTCCTCTCTCTGCCTAAAGAGTGCAATCAGTGCAAAAAATATTAACCATGTAGGTAAGTGTCTGCTGCCAAAGGGCTTGTCATTCCCTGAATGCATGTATATATAGAGGGATTGGATATAGAACTACTGGATATATAGGTTGGATATATAGAACTATTCCTTCCTTGAAGCATCCATCTGGAAGAATTAAATGGTGTTTTAAAAGCTCAGATCACAGAAATACAATTTCAGATCGTCTTTAATTATTTGATTTATACATTTTCAGAACAGTTCATACTCCACCAAAAGCGCTCCGTCGCTTTCAATTCCGGCTGTTCCCGCTGCTTTCGGCTCTCAAACACGTTCATTGTCAGGTGGCGTCGAGCTGAGGAAAAGCTGAGGCAAGAGAGGACCCACCACCATCACCACCATCCCCACCTCCTCCACTGCTCTTGTCCCCTTTCCCTTGCGACTTGTGCAAGGGGTGAGCAGTCCCTTCTCTCCCTGGCACCTGCATGGAGCGGGGAGCTGTCTGTGCCAGTTCTTCGGGGCCAGCCCCTCCTGGCACTCGGCTTTTTCAGGACCGAGATGCTCGAAATGTCGCCTTCAAAGCACAAACCCAGAGCTGGGGCTGCCAGCCCAGCCAGGGCTGCCGTGCTCATGCGGGGCTTGAGGGCTCCTGGGTTTTGCTAGGTCGGGGTTGCTTGTTTAGACCGGAGCACCTTCAGTGAAATAAACACCTGATAGCGAAAAGATCATCTCCAACTATGGCTAGGAGAGACCGCACATCCACTTAGTAAACTTTGCCCGTAATTTATTTGCAAATCCTGCTTTCCCTTTCCGAAGAGGACAAATAGCAGGCAGTAGGTGCTAAGGCAGAAAGAGGTTTAAGAAACTTTAAAAAATTAATTTGAAGGGATAACATTTTTTTCTCCTGGTGCTGCACAGTGGTTGAAGAGAGGTGGCTTGAGGAATTCGGCTTGTCAGATTGAAGGAGAAAAAAGGTTGAGTAAGTGAACGATGGTGCTGTGTAATGAAAATACAGCCGTAAGCCGCAGCTACTAAACCAAAAAGGACTGAATCACCGTCTGCATCCCGCAAAAGGGACCCTCAGCGTGCCTTCCCCTGGCAGCCCTGACTTCCAGCTCCTTCTGCTGCCAGGCAGCTTGACAGTGTATCCCGGGCACCTTCTCCTAAAATTTGAAAAATCCTGGCAGCGATGGTGCGCGGTGTTTGGAGAAGAGGAGATGCCTGCTTTAAAAACAACTCTGATTTTTACACCGCTCCTCTTCTTCTTCCCTCTCCTTTGCTCCCGTTTAAAGAACTTGTTATTGTTTAAAGAGACCCCATTGAACTATTTCCTGCTCATTGTCACCTCTCTCCCCCTCGCCCTCTATCCAGGGATTCTCACGGAAAGGTAATAAACTTCCCTCACACCACAGACCGTCGCAGCTCCGGAGAATGCAAACTATTACAACACCGGCCGGCGGGAGTGCTTCAGAGCATCCCTCTTTTCCCTCGTCCCGGCCCTTGTTGTTGCATCGAGTGACTTTAAAATAAATTCGTCCCGTTGCAAAGTTTCACCCATGAGTTTCTCCCCTCTTGCCCGCAGGAACTCGCGGGCGTTTCTCCCTCCTACACGAAACAAAGCCTTTAACTATCGTTCTGTTTTTCAGAAGTACGTTTTTATTTAGGTGGGACGGCGGGTGGCTATTTTCAGATTTTAAAAAAATTACTTGAGATGGCTCGCAACCATCGCCGTCGAGCATCTCGGCTGCGAAGGCGCTGCCTGCGCTGATGCCGAGAGGCAAACTCTGCCGCTTTTCCCATGGGCGGCTCATGGGCTCGCTGAACGCGGGGAGTGCCCGGCTTGTGCAGCCGCTGGACAGCGCGGTCCCAGCTCTCGGGCTGGTTTTCCCGCAAGGTTTGTCCCCGCAAGGTTTGTCCCCGCAAGGTTTCCCCGCGGTCCCAGCTCTCGGGCTGGTTTTCCCTCAAGGTTTGCCGCTGCCAGCCGCGCCCTTCCCTGCAGCAGAGGTTCCGCCGAGGGGGCAGGGGCAGGTGCGGGGGAAGCGGCGTGCGGGGCGGGGTGCTGCTGCCAGCCTGCTGTCACACTTCCCGTTTTTTCCCCTAAATATGAACCCGCGGCGGGAGCGCCTCCCGTCCAGCCTGCCCGCCGGGAAGCGGACCGGGGGTCTCGCAGCGCCGGGAGGCGGGAGGGTGCCGCTCCGGCCGGTTGTGAGGCTGTTGCCGAGATGGGCCATTTCCTCCGCGGCTGCCGGAGCCCCGGCCCCGGCGGCTTTGATAGAGGTGCAAACATTTGGGGGCAGATTTACATAAAATAGCCGCGTTTAATCCCGCGGGCCGCAATTAACATCACAGGCTCCCGCGGGCCCCGTTCTGATATGGCCGCGGGCGGCCAATGGGCAGCGCCGCGCGCGCCCATCAAAGGCGCCGCCCGCCAATCAGCGCGGCCCCCCCGCCGGCGCGCTGATGTCACCGGGGGGGCGTTTATGGCGGGCTATAACAGCGGCCCGGGCGCTGAGGGCGCGGCGAGGCGCCCCGGGCCCGGCTCGGTTCCGCTGCGGCCGTGCCAGCCAGCAGCCCCGCGGGCGGGAGGGCGCGGGGCCGGGATGAGCTCCCCCGGTGCGGAGGGCGCGGGCAAGCCCCCGCAGTACCGCGTGGATCACCTGCTGAGCGCCGTGGAGAGCGAGCTGCAGGCGGGCAGCGAGAAGGGCGACCCCACGGAGCGGGAGCTGCGCGTGGCGCTGGAGGACAGCGAGCTGTGGCTGCGCTTCAAGGAGCTCACCAACGAGATGATCGTCACCAAGAACGGCAGGTAGGGACCGGCCCCCCCGGGCCGCCCGCGCTGCTCCCCGCCCCGGCCCCGGGCGGCGCGGGGGTGCCGGCGGCGGGACAAGCCCCCTCGCGCCTCCGTGTCGCCCCGCAGGAGGATGTTCCCGGTGCTGAAGGTGAGCGTGTCGGGGCTGGACCCCAACGCCATGTACTCCTTCCTGCTGGACTTCGTGGCGGCCGATGGGCACCGCTGGAAGTACGTGAACGGGGAGTGGGTGCCCGGCGGGAAGCCGGAGCCGCAGGCGCCCAGCTGCGTCTACATCCACCCCGACTCGCCCAACTTCGGCGCGCACTGGATGAAGGCGCCCGTCTCCTTCAGCAAAGTCAAACTCACCAACAAGCTCAACGGCGGCGGGCAGGTAAACGCCGGCACCGGGACCTGCTCTCTCCTTGCTGCTCGTTTTCATCCTTACCAAACGTGTTGGGATGGGTCGCGCTTCTCCCTGCCCCCGCAATTCATTCATTCATTCATTCATTGAGGAGAGCGTCTCCTTCCACGGAGGATGAGTGCCTTGATGTTTTATCACTTTGTCTTTTTTGAAAAGCTCTTTCTGGTCTGAATATTTGCTAGTGTCAGTGGTGTGGTAGATGAATTTTCTAAGGCTGACTTATCATTGATGCATCTGTGAGTCTTCGAGTGTTTTGTCAAGTAACAGGGATGAGGATAACTTGTGCAGAAAGTTGTGTCTGTCCTCATAGTGCGTTTCCTTCTCTCACCTCTTCACTTTTAGGCTTTTTTCGTGCTTATTGCTTTTTCCACCTCGGACGGAAAGATGGATACTTTAAAGCCTGAGTGCCCTTTGTGCCTGGCAGCATCTGCCGCCACCCTGTCGCTGCTCACCTGCTCTGTTTGTTCACAGATCATGTTGAACTCCCTGCACAAGTATGAGCCACGGATCCACATCGTGCGAGTGGGTGGCCCGCAGCGGATGATCACCAGCCATTCCTTCCCAGAAACGCAGTTTATAGCTGTGACAGCCTACCAGAACGAGGAGGTAAGCACAGCGGGGAAGGGAGGCTGCCACTGCCGGGAGGGTTCCAGTAGCAAAGCATGCATGTTACAGAGCAAAATAATGGCTCTCCTTTTGCGTTTCTCACTTCTTCCCATGCTTTTTTTGAAGCTAAATATAAAAGATTAAATTAATGCATGTTAAAGGCCCTATGAATGAGTTATAGAACAAAGTTTTGAGCATTGTTGGTCTCAATATATACTGCAGGTTCATTATAGAGGAGTAATTTTAAAAGACTCTCTGGGGGCAAACAACTATGGTAGAAAAAACAATGGTCATTTTGAGCTACACAGTGAAATGACTGCACCATTTTTTGAGCAGCCCTTTTTCTGTTACTCAAACCTATGTGTGTGTTGAATGAAGTTGTAATTATCAGGTTTTCTGAGATTTCTTTGATGTCCAATCTGCTCTGGCTTGAAATGTGAAGATTTTTATAGCTATTTAGTTTACTACCTTTCTTAGGTGTTTCCTTAGATGATCAATGAACTCGGGCTATTTGGTGTTTCAAAATTTGGCAGAGAGACTAACTCCTAATGCTTTGATAATACTTTGATAAGACCCTTAAGGAGCTGTTTAATTCGTGCCCATCAGTTGCTTTTATGGGCCTACTTTTATTTCTTAAAAAATAAAGTGTGATTTTTACCAACTTCACTGGATAGTCCTAGTTCAAATCCTAATATCAGTGTGATAATGAATGGTGGTACATGTGAATAAAGATATTTGTTGTTGTTTTTAGATCACAGCTTTAAAAATTAAATACAATCCGTTTGCAAAGGCATTTCTTGATGCAAAAGAAAGGTGAGACCTCTTAATTTAATTCTAAAATGTGGATTTTTAAGATAGATTTTTGAAGACAAACTCTTAACTGATACAACATGGTTTCTTTTATAGGAGTGATCACAAAGACATGATGGAAGAAGTGGGGGACAACCAGCAGTCTGGGTATTCACAGTGTATGTTTCCTTTCATTGTGCATCATGAGCATGACTTTGATTTCTTCCATCTACTCTGTGTGAAGTTAAGCTAAACTTTGAGGCCAGTGCTTGGTAGCTGGCTTGTTAGCTCATAGAGAGAGCAATGTTACCAGTCTCTGTGGTTGTGGTTCATGCATGTTGATGTTTGTATAAACACTATAATCTCTGTGTGTGGTTAGGATTTATTGCATTCAAAAGCATTTAATAGAATCCTGCAGAGTTGTCTTTGTGTCCAAAAAGACATCTGCTTTCTTGTACAAGGACAGCAATGTTCACATGGACATGGAGACAAAAGTTTATTTCATAAAACTTATTGGGATAGTACTCCTGTTTTAATTGCTCTAAGAAAATTATGGGTATTTGCTTGAAGAAGTTATTTCAGATGATTGAAAAGCAGTTGTGTCTTAATGATTTCTGTTTTAACAAATTGACAACAAAATGTAGCCTAAAAAGGATGGGGGAGTTGATTTGCAGCAGGAATTCTTTTGTTGCAGAGAACATACTTAATTTTTAAGAGGAGTTCTTAGCAGTCTGAGAAACTTCAGAGCTTAGCTGTAGGTTGAGACCCCCAAAAGCAGTTTAAAACTGAATACTATGCTAACAATTACTGAGCACGCACTACCTACATATGGGAGGGTTTAATTTCATTATTTCCTTACTGTGGTTGTGGTTAAATGGTGATGTATAAAACAAGTTAGCTTGACACAAGACTTTTTCTAAGCTGCTGTCTGATTTTCCTTTGTAAGAGCATTTATCCAAGTTGTAACTATCCAGATTTTTCAGCTGTGTTGACACTGTTTCCTTTGCCGAGCGTGCATTTCTCGCTGTTACTTGTCTCGTGGCTGTGGTTCTGTGCCCGGCTGCCCCGGCCAGCCCTCTGACCGAGCTCTCGCTCCCCCAGTAGGCAGCTGGCTCATTCCTGGCAGCGGGGCTCTGTGCCCCCCGGCCAGCGCCCACGCGCAGTTCGGAGCCGGGCTCTCGCTGTCCCCTACCCACAGCTGTGACAGGTACTCCTCGCTGAGGAGCCACCGCCCCGCGCCCTACGCCAGCCCCTACTCGCACAGGAACAGCTCCCCAGGTAAGGCTGAGCTCTGGGAAAGGGGGTCCTGAGCCCAGGACGTGCTCCCAGGGCCTGTGGAACTGGGGGTCTGGTTTTGGCAGCTTATCTGACCTGGGGCTGTGGTGAGTGTCTGTCTGTGAATGTCCCACCGCTGCATAGACAGAAACAATGAGGTGCTGAGTGAACTGCAGAGCTTTTAGAAAAGGTGTGCTCAGAAGTAGCCAAATGTCATAAGATTTAGTTATCTCAGGCACCAGGTACTTAAGTGTGAATAGGGCATTTTTAACAGTGGGGTTTTTTTGTTTCATTGTTTTTTTAAAATTTCTTCTGGCGAAGAAGAATGGCTAACAATTTAGTATAGATATTGAAGATTCCCATTTTAAAAATATGTATTTTGAATTATGAAGCAATCTGTGGGCTTCTAGATGCAGTCTTGTATGTAGCTTTGTAGTTCATTTTGAAGTGGAAAATTAGCTCTCTGTGAACTTTTCTTGCATCTTGGAAATTTTGGGCACAACTTAAAAAAGAATAAAAGAACAAAACCCCTCTGGTGTTCTTTCTTGTCCTCAGCCAAAAACTTCCTTCCCTTAGCTACTGACCACAGCAGCTTCTTTCTGACCATGGGTGGCTGTATGGGATTCCCTTTATAGCTTCCTAGTGCCCCTGCTGTGTGGGCCAGCCAGTTTGGGTCACAAGCCAAGCAGTCTAAGCCACACTCCAGTCACTCCTGATGGTGCCTAAGGCAGATTTCAAGGGGGCATGCTTGGCTCAAAACTGGGATATGTGATCCAGTGGTAGCCTTGTTATCCAGCTGTGCCAGACTGTTACAGCCATTGTAGGTGATGGAGATGGAAGGTCTCCAGGTGACAGTGTAAATAAAGAGCTCTCCTTTTCCCACTAACTGTGTAAAATGGCATGTGCTGAATTAGCAGCTGGCTTGCAGACAGCCTTTGGCCACAGAAATAAGATTTTGCAGTTATGAGTGGAGCAAAACAATACATCAGGGCAATGCCCATAAAGGTGTGAGCTTGACACAACTGGTTACTGGCTTTGTTATTTTCTGTGTGTGTAATATTGTTTTTATTTTTTTTTCCCAAGGTAGTAGTGGGGAAGGGTGGTTTAAACCTCTTCATTGCATTTAAATACAAGATTGGTATTTGGCCTGATTCTAGTGTTTGTAAGAGATTGTGTTTTCCCAGCAGCCTATGCTGACAACTCCTCTGCCTGCCTGTCCATGCTGCAGTCCCATGACAACTGGTCTTCTCTGGGAGTTACTACACACACAGCCATGCTGCCCATGGGGCACAGCACTGGCACAGCTACCAGCTCCAGGTAGGAGTCCAGCCCTCAAAGCCCTATATTGGTACTTTCTAGGAGGAAAAGGCTGAAAAAGGAGGTAAAGAGTCACCAGCATATTAGAAGTCATTTTGGCTAGTGGTATGAGCCATTAGCACTCTGTGGGGCACTGAGAAGGACTGTCCACAAGGAAAACAGCTTGAAGAAACAGATTTTTTTTCTTTTTAATGTTTTGGTTCTAAACATGTAGAGACCTATGACAGCAGTATTTGATAAATTAAGGATTGCAAATTGCTTAGACAAACATAGATTGAATTTGAGGAGGCTCTCTTAAGCTTCATCTCTATTATGCATAATGGTGTTTAAAAAGTTTTTTTTCTTGATCCTTTCCATTTTGGCTGGTCACAGCTTTCCCGGACATCTCCATAAACCTTTATTCTGCTACAAATGATGGAGCAGTGAACTGTAGTGTGGAGAAGGAGTTGGGGCAGAAATTCTTTACTTAAGCATTGACACACTAACCAGCATAGCATGGGATTGTACATGTGGTGAAAGTCTTTGATATTCTGTGATCATAACAAAAGAATCTTTCCTCCTCTTTGTACTTATTACCTTAATTAAACTTTGGAATCCTTTAGCAAAAATTCAGCTTGCATTTAGTCCTTTAGAGCTAAACTTGAAAATTCAAAGAGATGCAGAAAAGGTGGTAAAATATTTGCTATGAACTACAGAGGGACAAGATTTGGACATCTCTTTTAGCAATTCAGACCTACCATTCTGTTCGTGGAAAGCATTTTTGCATTTGAACCATGCACATGGACTCTTAACTGTTAATCAGGATATGTATGATATGTATGATATTAACTCATACTGGGTAGTATGATATAACTCATACTACCCAGTGTGAGTTTTTAGTTCTGAACATAGATTAATTGAGTAAAAAGGTCCTTCTAGCACTTTTTTTTCTGATCTGATCCCCAGGAAGTTGCAAAGTTCCTAGAGTTTCAATTTCTGCACTGAGTTGTTCAGGAGGTAAAACCAGTAGAACTGGAACTGTGAAACCTCAGGGAAGGCATTTCTGCCACCCCCTTTGTCTAACCCCCTATCTGTTGGAAAATAGGGAAGTTCAGTTTATTCGTGGGGGTGCCATGAACACACATTGTGCCTGGGGGTCCTTCCTGCCTCGCAGTGGCTGGGAACTGCCTAGAGACTGTCACTGTTGGCAGCAGAAGGACCTGGACCTGGCCTGGGGGCTGTGGTGTGAGCTGAGGAGCTGCCAGCAGGCCCTAGAGTCACTAGTATCTGCTTTTCTCTGTGCCTTTCCCTCCTCCAGCCAGTACCCCAACCTGTGGTCGGTGAGTAGCAGCAGCATCACGCCGGTGTCGCAGCCCAGCGGGATGTCCAACGGGCTGAGCTCGCAGTTCCTGCGGGGCTCTCCGGGACCCTACTCGGCCCTGCCCCACGCCGTGCCCGCCGCCTCCTCTGCCTCGCCCCTGTACGACGGCACGGCGCCCGCCGACCTGCCCGACAGCCAGTACGACGCCTCTGCACATGCCAGGCTGGCACCCACGTGGACACCTGTCACCTCCCCTTCCATGTAAACACAGGCCTCTTCCTCTGAGACACTGCTAGCCACCAAGTTGTGTTAGCTGCTCAATCCTCAAGGAGGAGAAAGAGGAGACGTGAAGGAAACTGCAACCAAAAAGCATCTGTGCTGCTCTGCACAGAGCATCTACATTATGCCTCTTATAGTGAACTGTGCATCACTGACTTCATGTGGAGTTTACAAACCTGGTGAGTGTGCAATTCTGAGAGCAGATTCACTGCTTTTGATTTGTTTTTTCTTTTTTAAAGTTTGATAGACCTAAGTTTTAAGATTTTTACTTGTATTCCAAATTTCTTGGTGTTCTGATGTATTTGGACCTGAAATTTGGCATAATTCTTAAGTAAGTTACTCCTAACTGTTTTTCAGTTAGTGTTTTTAAATGGCAAACTTAGCTATAGTCATGAGAAGATTTTTATTAACCATCTAGTTAGAAGCATTCTGAAATATGCACAGATGTAGCTGCAGAGTGAAGTTTTTGGAAAATCATGTGCACTAACACGTATTTGCTTCACAAATACATTGTGTTCTTAACTGTATGCTTTTCTTTCTTGCTGCTGAATTAATGTTGAGACAATCTTTGAGAACTATGTTCTTCCCAATAAAAACAGTATTAATGTTTGGGCTGAAAAGTTTTACCCAAAAGACCTCTTTAGGAGGTAAGTTTTGCTGTTTGATCATATAGGTTTCAAATACCCACCAGCTTAGCTAAACATCTCATTTTCAAACAGCGTCTAATTTGAAGTCCTATCCAAAACATTTTGAATCATTGGAAATTCATCACTTGATAGGGTTTTTTTGCATCTTTGGCTCAAGCCTTAAGAGAAGGATTTCAACACCTTGGGGAATCATTCTAATTTATTTTATTTCAGTCTTGTACTCTGATCTGTATTTATTATTTGGTAAGTTACAACTTTATCTTCTACATGTTAAGATATGTAAATAATCCCTCAACCTACAGTGTACTCTTTTAAGACAATCATATGTGGGATGTGTCACCCCATGGCACACAGAACAGCATGGGTGTAAGTAGTTAACTTACTGGAAGAGGGACATCTGTAGTTGCCAAGGTTTTGGCACAAAAGTGCAGATGTACTAAAGTTTAAAACACGCTCACTGCTTGACTTGCTAGAAGGAACAGGTCTTGATAAAATACTTGCTTCATCACTGATATGAAGTAATGTGATCCAAATTCATGATGCAGGCTTAACCCAAAACACTGGCTGAAAATGTGCCCTTAGACATGTCTCTGTCTCCCACTGAATCTGGCAAATACATACCTTGAGGAGAGTGAGTTCTTTTGCATAAGCCATAATAAATAACTTGTATAATGAAGTGCCTAATATAGCAAAGCAAATTCTGTATCAGGGAATTCCTTAAATAACTCATTGATGTGTGCTTATGTGCTACAGTGGCAGCTTTAAGATGAAAAAGCAAGTATTTGCCACCATTTTGGTCTGTTTGGTACCCTTTGGGCAGGTTCCTGCACCTAGGAAAGTTTTGGCAGGGCTTGTTCCCTGCAGAGACAAGTCTGCCAGAGGTACTCCAGCAGGACATGGCACCAGAAGTGGATGGCTGCACAGCCACATCCTCTGTCAATATGTAAATAGTGATCTAAGTGCTCCTATTTTATTGTGAAGGTCAATTGTGTAAATGATGTAAGTGCATTATTATTTAGACTATTTTGTAGAAATTAGCAGCATCTTTCATTGTGAGGTTTTATACTTGTATTTTGGAAGTATAATTTAAGTTAAAAAAAAAAAGTAAAGATTCTTAAGAAAAACTCCATGCTTGATTTTCAGTTTGTGGGGGTGGTGGGAAGGGTGAAACAAAAGCACATCAGCCATATTGAACCTACAGTGTGCCAACCTTCCACTGAGTGGTTTCACAAATGATTCCTGCTGCACGTCACCTTCTGTCTGTGGGCGAAAGTTCAAACAGTTCTCATCCCCTGCTTTCTCCACCCCTGTGGGTTTCTCCCTTGTTTTGGTAAATCCTTGACTGACTGCTCTTCAGGTGGTTGCTGCATTTGGTGCTGGGTGGAAGCTCTTTTCCCTCAGTGACCAGTTTCCAGCTGGGGCTGGATGCAAGGCTGGCACCTGCTGTGTTAGACCTCGATAACCAGATTTTCAAGGGTGTTTCTGAGTCCCTGCCCCCAGCCATAAATGCCAAGCTGCTGCCTGGTCCTTTCAGCTACTTCAGGAGTCTGTTACCAGCTGATCAGCACTGCCCTGGCTCTGTGTGAGAGTCTGTTACCAGCTGAGCACGCACATGCCACTTCTCAGAGCTGACCTAGGGGGGAGCCAGATTTATCCCTTGCCCCAGAGCTGTGCCCCCAAAGCAGACATGTCAGGGGAAGAGGATGATCAATTTTGGGAAAGCCCTTGGTGGCCCCAGCGTGGGAGAGCCCTAATATAGTTCTGTGCCAGGACTGAGAGATGAATGGGACATTTTTGGTCTTCAGGTTGCTGTTTATTTTTCTCTTATCAATAGTTCTGTGCACCATCTATGCCAGGCTTAGCTCACAAGGAGAAGACAACAAAAAGGTCCCAAGATGTACAGTTTCAAGGTCTTTTGAAGTTGTACTTTATTTCTACTTATCTACCAATACCTAACTATTTGCCCACCATGCAATATCTTCATTGCAGTTTTCCCCAACCAATCACCCTGTGCCACCAACACAGCAGAAAATGGAGTAGATGAAGAAGGAGACCAGGCAATGCCCCGAATCCTCCATTTTGTCTTCTATCTACCTCCCTACTAAACACCCAAAACTCTAAATTTTTCATCCTGTGATAAACTACGCTATCTATTTCACACAATTGTAGATTCTAATTAATCCCAAAGTCTTGGAAGCTGTCTCCACGGATGGAGGATAAAAGCACTGATTTCCTGGGAATCAGGACTTGCCAGGACAGGTAGGGAAATATTCCCTGTGCCTTGGGTTCCAACAATCAATCTGCCATAGAATCCTTTTGTTTGGACATGACCTTTAAGATCAGAGTCCAACCCTTAAGCCAGCACAGCAAAGTCCACCACTCTGCCATGTCTCACATGTCTTTTCAACACCTCCAGGGATGCTGACTCCACCATTTCCCTGGGCAGCCTGTGCAGTGAAGGGGACACATGAGGCAGGAGAGAGGTGCTAGGCCGAGGGCTGGAGCCTGTCCTGGGCAGGCAGCCCACTGTGCATCTCTTTCCCACACAGAGGCGGCTTGTGTGGAGGACAGCCCACAGCTGCTGCCCAGCACAGGGCCCAGTGGCTTCTCAGGTTCTTGCAGACCTTGTACTGCAGAAGTGATTCCATGTCCATGTGGATAAAAATAGTTGAGGCTACTTATTACAGGAATGAACTATGCCCCTGAACTGAGCTGCCTGCAGCTAAGGCCTCTGAGCTGTGAAGTGGAAGAGCTCAGCCTTGCTAAATGCTGATATCAGATGGATCTTACCTAGCTGGCTTTTTCTGGTGTGAGATTTTTTTTCACCTCCCATACTTTCAAATTAAAGGAACCAAAACCTTTCACTGAGTGCAATTTTTAAGACACTTTAAAGCAGATGGGGCATTTCAATATCTATGTCTACACACTTGAAAATGAACTTCATGTGATGCATCTGGAGAAACTTTTCTCACCTGTGGGCTCAGGGCAGCAGTGCTGTGCTGTGCTCCTTCTTCAGCTGCTACCTGGTGCAGTCCTGAGGCTGCTGGTGGAGGCAAGGGGGAAGCACTGATGTGGTGACATTTCCAGATGCTGAGGAAGGCTGGTGTGAGATGGCTCACCTCAAACAGCCCCTACCTGTGAGGGTGGCTGTGCTGTTCCTTGTACCAGCTCCATCAGGACTCCTCACCACTCCTGGCTGTGCTGCACACCAGACAAACACTGTGGCTACAGACTGCTGTGAGGTTGGTAGAGGTCCAAATGCCCAGGAACGAAGCTGTCACCAAATGCTCAGAACTCTTAGGAAACTTCTACTGTTTGCCATCTCAGTGGGTTTATGCTTTTTATTGTGATTTTCTTCTGGGTAACAAATAATTGCTGGCTGTAAAAAAAAATCTTTGTAAAACCCTCATCCCAGTTGTGCAGAAATGTCTTGCTTTGTTTCCAAAAGCCATGTCAATACTAAGTTCCAAGCAGGAATAAAATGTGAGATTTGGTATTCCCATGCTTCTCTCCAGCCTGACTCTCCCTCCATAAATATCAATTTGATTTATGAGTTTAGGTAATACACATTAAAGCACTGCATCACTCATGCAAATATAAATAAAATAAAAAGTAATAGAAATCAAAAGTAAAAAAAATTAAATGCCCCAAGGACAGGTGTAAAGAAGATGGAAGCAGAAACATGCATTTTTTTAAACCATGCAGAGTCTCATTCCAGAGGTTTGTATCTGTGCAGAAAATAATTTCTTCTTTAGAGGTTCTGGCTTTAGCTGCTCCTGGATGTCTGTGCCTTTGGCAACTGAGGTAAAGAAAATTAGGGAGTCGAAAACTCAGGTTCTCCCACTGTACACACCACTGTGATGTCTAGGATCTGGAAGACACTGTGGGGTTTACAGCTGAAGATTGTATGGCTGGCTACAGCAGTTGCTTTTGTAAACAGAGAAGACACAGGGCTTCTCAGGAATCTCCTCCTGGAGCTACCAGTGCTCTACCATTCACAGAATTTCTTCTTCTGTCCTTTGAGTTCACCTGCACTCCCTGCTCTCCGAAGTGGACACTGCTAGTTTTATTCCTGTCTTTGTCAGCTGAAGTACTGGCTTGTGTTTATCATGTCTCAAGTCTGTCTACAATGCCAACAACAGAAGCAGGGGAGGTGCTGAAGCCCATTCCCAGGGGTGGATGTTGGCTGGTCAGTATGGGGCAAACAGCAGTCTGGGGCTGCCATATCTTATCTTATGTATGATCACATGCTTATCTCCTGTATGATCACACAGCTCACTGCAATTCAAATTTCAAGCCAATCACGGCTTCCCTCCTCCTCCACCCACTATTTTTTTAAGGAATGGCACCGTTACCATAATATCCTTCTGGTGCTGCACTCCTGACATGTCTCTGAGCCTTGTCTCCTGAGGCACCACCTGAGATGGTGTGCCAGGAATGTGACCAGAGGACTCCTAGGGATGAGATTCTGTTACCCTCTGGGCAAGCAGCTTGAAGCTTTTTCTTGCTTTTCCCCCTCCTTTCCCCGTCTTGCAGCAGCACAAAAGTAGATTACTGTTTCTTGATGCTACTAAACTAATTAATTGCTTCAGTAAGTCTGTCAATGCCAATAATTCCTATGTGATATGCAATTACCAGACTTGTACAACAGAGTTGGATGGGGTTTCCTGAATTTAATTCCTTAATTGTAGGAAATCCCTTCATCAAGACCTTTTGGGAAAGTAGCGGGGTTTATCTTGAAAACAGTGGTTGAGATTCTGGGGAGGTTTTCTGTGTCTGCCTGTGTACCTGTGGCAAGTGGTGTTGCTTTTTTTTTGGCAGACTTTTGCAGCCCCCTTGCTTCTCATTGCTTAGCAGCTATCTTTTAATTGCCAGCTGAAATTTATCTGTAATAGTCTTATGACTATCTGATCTTGAGCCAAAACCCATTCCCAGCTTTAATGATTCTTCTCCCTTGGTAGTCTTTAAGCTGATATGCATTGTTAGAAAGTAATTTCTCAGCCTCTCTTTTTGAAGGTTATAAAAATCCTCTCCTCCCCTGGTAGCTTTCCCTCTACTGCTGGCCCTCTATCCATGTCTGGCTTGAAGAAAGGAAGAG